ATGAAACTACAAAGGAGATCTTCAAGGCAGCCATCAAGACAAAATGGGAGACATCGAGCAACATCCCTGAAGAAACCTGTGTGGAAGAACACTGGAAGTCTTTGAAAGCTATGTGGAAAGAAACCTGCACAACAGTATTAGGAAGGAAGAAGAAAGAAGACAAGGAATGGATCTCGACAGATACCTGGAAGCTGATAGAGGAGAGGAGGATGGTGAAGCAGAAGATAAACCAGTGCAAGGATGCTCAACGACAAGAGGAACTGAGCACGATGTATGAAACACTGAACAAAGAAGTAAAGAAGAGTGCACGCAAAGACAAAAGACACTTCTACGAAACACTGGCAAGTGAAGCAGAACAGGCTGCAGGTAAGAGAGACCTGACGACATTGTATCAAATAACCAGGTTGCTATCAGGGAATAGACCAACACAGATGAAACCAATAAAAGATGAAGAAGGAAATTTAATTACAAAAGAAGAGAAACAGAGGAAACGATGGGCCGACCACTTCAAGAAGCTCTTGAATCGACCACCACCTGCACTTCGTCCAGAAATACCACCTGCAGCCGCTGAACTACAAGTGAACATTAATCCCCCAACGAAAATGGAAGTCCTGAACGCCATAAAGCTACTGAAATGCGGGAAAGCAGCAGGACCAGATGGAATAATTCCAGAAGCACTGAAAACAGATGCAGAGACAACAGCGGCCATGCTCACACCACTATTGCAGAAGGTGTGGAAGGAAGAGAAGGTACCGGACGATTGGAAGAAGGGTTACCTTGTCAAACTGCCGAAGAAGGGAGACCTCAGTGCTTGCAAGAACTGGCGCGGAATCACTCTCCTGTCCACCCCAAGTAAAATATTAAGCCGCATCATCCTGGAGAGGCTTAAAGATGCACTGGATTCAAAACTACGACCAGAACAGGCAGGCTTCAGGAAGTACAAATCATGTGCAGACCAAATTGCAACGCTTCGTATCATCATAGAACAGAGCATAGAATGGCAATCACCTCTCCACCTCAACTTCATCGACTTTGAGAAGGCCTTTGACAGCGTCGACCGAGAAGTAATTTGGAAACTGCTTCAATACTACGGAGTACCGCAAACCTTTATCCGCCTCATTCAACAACTATATGAAGATGCCACATGCCAAGTAATCCACAATGGGAAGCTCAGTGATGCCTTTGAAGTGAAGACAGGAGTGAAACAAGGTTGCCTACTATCCCCCATGATATTCCTTATTGTGGTGGACTGGATCATGCAGCAAACAGTAGGCAGCGAGAAGAGGGGGATACACTGGACTGCGGAAAAGAACCTAGAAGACTTGGATTTCGCCGATGACTTATGCCTAATGTCACATAAACTTGAAGATCTGCAGGCAAAAACTAACAAGTTGATAGAAGAGGCAGCGAAGACGGGACTTCAGGTGAATATAGAGAAGACAGAAGTGATGAAGATACCGCACCACCACCATCAAAAACAACAACAAACTCCAATCACCATCAACGGGAGAAACTTAAAGGAAGTAACCTCCTTCACTTATCTAGGAAGCACTGTTTCAACTACAGGCGGGACGGACGAGGACGTCAAAGTCAGAATCGGAAAAGCAAGACAGGCGTTCATTAGCCTGAAACCAGTGTGGAGATCTTCTGCACTGCACTCAGCATGTGGAACAAGATACGGATTTTCAACACCAACGTCAAGTCAGTGCTCTTGTATGGCTCAGAGACTTGGCGCGTCACGAAAGGTATTTCCAATAAACTACAGACATTCATCAACAACTGCTTACGCTCGCTGCTGAAGATCAGATGGCCAGAAAAAATAAGCAACAAGGAACTCTGGGAACGAACCAACCAAGAACCTATCACGCAACAAATATGCAGGAAGAAGTGGAGATGGATTGGCCATGCACTGAGAAGGCCGACTGAGGACATCACGCGTCAGGCCCTCGAGTGGAATCCCCATGGGAAGCGACGAGTTGGACGTCCAAGGGTGACATGGAGGAGGTCGTGCGAGCAGGAAATGAGAGCTTGTGGGCTGTCGTGGGACCAGGTTCAAAAGATCTCAGAGAACAGAGGTCACTGGAGGCGTGCTACTGAAGCCCTATGTTCCACTAGGAACCCAAGGGACTAATAATAATATAATAATAGATACGTTATCCAGTAAATGATACTGTTGTTCCATTGTGTGACATTTCTAATACACAGACTAATACGGAATTACAGTCTATGACAGTACCCAAGTTTTACTCCTATAGACTAAGCATATTTAGTAGTGTTCCGGGTTATAAGTTCACTGTTCATTTTAATATGAAGTTGATGAACTGTATTCCATCTAGTTCAGTCTACTTACACACATGTGACTGATGGTTAACAAATGCATATTTATATGACGTAGGTCAAATCTGTCTATATATGTCAAAAGAGAAGATGAAATAGTATACATATACAAACTTCCCCTATCAATGGAAATCAGTAAGAGATGAATCGAAGAACATTGAATAGAAATTTCATTATAGGTGTATACAAATGATAATCATACAATTATTTCGTATTGAAAGAATTTGACTGCTAATTTTGAATCCACTTACTAGTCAATCATCTGGTTCATATAGAATTTGAAATTCTGAGTTCATATAATCTAACAGATTGAATGATATATGCCCTTTAAAACTGGTGTCATTTAATCTCAAGCTGTTTAGATTCTTCTTCAAAAGATACCATAAAAAGTGTATTTCAATTCATAGTCTTCCATAGATGATCTATCTATTTAAACAACATTCACTTGGATATGTAAATCAGCTAACACTAGTATAGACACCTTGTTTTATTCATAGACACCAACATATTCCGATGAATTTTTAAGCTTTCATAGGATTAATTTAGGTGAGTATTGTTTTAGTTCTTTTAAGCTAAAGTATCTTTATTTCTTGATGTTTGTAGTTTCCCTCTGCTGTATCGAATTGACCAACCTCTGTTGACAATATAGGCACTTATAAGGATGCCTCGATATTGCCTAGATATCCATTGTTATAAATAATCTAGTGGAATCCAGGACATCAGCTGGATGTATCTGCACCCTAATAAGTGATGGTGTTCCCAGTAACCATCTCTTGAAACGCTATAGCGTTATCCACTATGTCACTAAAGACATAAGAGCCACCCTTTTGGTCAATAGCTATTATCTATTATTATTATTATTATTATTATTTGTTGGTGCTTGTAATTCCCCGTTGCTGAGTGACTTCTGTTGACATTTAGAGTTTGAAGCGATGGGTTTGAGGTTCAAGCCTCAGTAGGGACACTTACACTTCCTAGGATGTAGGTACACACGACTGATGAGCCAAATGAGATGAAAGATAAGTTTCGGAAATTAGAACTAGACACTATCAAATGTGCAACACATTTTCGTTCAGTTAATTGGTCCAACTGTACAAAAAGGATCTTATATGTGCAGCTGAACCAATTAAAAGGAATTAGCCGATTTCTTTTCCTTCTCAATCATATTCACCAGCTATCATCCAGATCTTACATGATTCATTTCATAAAAACTAGCCAAAGTAGTAGGTAAGTTCCATACGGCACTGAAAACTGCATACATGATTGATGTTTCTTATAATCACTGAATATTCGTAGACTTGTTACAACACAGTATGGAGTTATTTCATGTACGTCAGTACTTTTTTCTCTGCATGATAGTGTCTTTAGGCAGTTATTTTGGTTAACATATTTGTACCTACGAATACGTGGACTAAAGAGAAGCTGAATCCACTCAAACCATCAATAAAGAACCGGTTTATTAAGTTACTGGCTCCTAGTTTGATTTGTCTCTGTAAATGTAAGCTACTTCAGTAATATTTCCAGTGTGTGGCATTTCTAATAAACAGACTAATTAAAAGTCATTCACCATGACCAAATTAATTAATAATCGAAATATTTATAGTTTCCCTTACATATTTTACAATTTATAAGCTAAAACATACAAATGAAGTAATTATGGTAATTTGGTTGGTTGTAACTGCCAGAAGAATCCATCCTGATACGCTTTTTGTCTAATTTGGGAATCATCATCTGGATATATCTGCACCCCAGTGTAGAGCGACGTTGAGGCTCGAACCTCATACCTACCGCTTCAAGCGCCAAGGTGTCATCCGCTATGCTATAGAGGAATGATAACCACTTCTTGTACAGTGCATGTAGTAGTTATTACAAATGAAGCAATTGTTTATTTTTGTGCATTTTGTACAAAAAAGTATATTGGTTTAGTGATTTCGTTAAAAAACCTATAGGAAAAAAATAATCGATTCTATTGATTATTCACGGGAAACCAACCAATCCCATGTTGTCTTGTCCTGTATGCTGACCGAATTCTCTGTCGAGCATACTTGCAATGGGGCCACCAAGGTAAAAGGTTGAGCACTGCAATGCACTTCAATAGATGTTAGTTGGTTGGAGGCAATTGGGAAGAAAGCCCACTTGACTTAGGTTTCGTATTTGTTAGCACTCGTCAGCAAGGCATATCTACAACCTTGACAAAACCGATGTCCAGCCTGAAACTCAAAAACCTGCATCACCTGCATCACCAACCATCCAACATCATCAGTTTCGTTACATTTTAATTAACCTGGTAACAACTGGTCAGGTATTTATCTTAAAACTGCCTCACTTGATTGAGTAGTACTTTTTTAGTAGTACTATATTATGAACTGACAGAAGTAGGTAACTGTGATCCATTGGATTTCGACCAAGTGACTCAATGGTAACATGCTGGTCGTGCAACTTGGAGGTCCTGAGTTCCATTCCTGGTGGGGTCATGGATGCGCGTCGCTGAGGAGTTCCATACAAAGGGGACGAAATAGCTGTCCAGTGTTCCCAGGTTTCCAATGTTCCTACAACTGATGTCATTTGATGATGAATTACCAACTTGAAATCAATAAACAAATTGCCACAAACCCACAAAATGAAAAAAACTTTGTTTTCTTCTCTACAATTTAATAACTTACCAATATCTTCACCTGCATGTAAAAGGCCAGTAGGAAACTTCCAACCAGAAAACTAGAAAAAAGTTGTTTCTGTTAGCAGGATACAAGAAAACCTACCGTAGGGCTACCTTTTTCACGTACCATTAGAACTTTAGAGGTATCTGAATTGGTCAGTACACCTGGAAGTAAACAATGAAAAACACAGTAAAAATCTTTATTAATGAAACCTGGTAATATTTATCTGTGTACTGGGCTCGAACTCGGGGGTGGACATTCAAATGAAAAATTTCAAGTTGCTATTCATCATGGACTGATATCAGTTGGGGAACATTGGAAACGTCGGAGCATCGGACTGCAGGTGTTTCGTTCTAGTGTAGGACTTCTCAACAGTGCGCACCTACGGCTCCTCTAGGGACCGAACCAAGGATCTTCAGGTTCCGTGACCAGAACGTTACCATTCAGCCACTAAGTTGGAATCCAATCGTCCTTATTTCCAACTTCTGTCACTTCATGACCATCACCCAATGTCATCCTTGAGTATTTGTCTTCACGGTCACCAAGTTTACCCCACTGATCACAACTTTTCATTGGAACTTCAGGAATCACCTCTGGAATGTAGTCACCAATGAGAAGTAGATGAGTTGAATTTCGGGTTTTGTGGGGATTGACAGATTTTTCAAGTTGGTATTCATCATGAACTGACATCAGTTTGAGGAACATTGGAAACCTGAGAGCACTGGGAAGCTGTTTCATCCCCTTGCATAGGACTCCTCAGCAGTGCGCACCCATGATCATGGTTTCCAATATTCCTTCAACTAATATCAGTCTATGATGAATACTGATTTGAAATCAATAAATCCCCCCCCCACACACACACACCCAAATGAAATGAGTTGGAAACTGTGAGGAGCGAGAAGATGGACATACGCTGGACCGATGAAAAGATCCTAGAAGAGTTGGATTTCACTGATGATGATTTCTGTCTGATGTCGCACAAACTCGAAGGTCTACAGGCAAAACTAAACGAGTTTGCGGAAGAGGCGAGGTAGCGAAGACAGAGGCGATTAAGATACCCAACCAATAACAACAACAAGCACCAATCACCACCAACAAGAGAAATCTAAAGGAAGTTGTCTCTTTCACCTACCAATGCAGCATCGTTTCAACTACAGGTGGTGGCACACATTAGGACGTTAAAGCCACGATCAAAAAGATAGCAAGACAGGCCTTCCTTCACAGTGCACTGTACTGTACTGCACTCAGCATAAAGCGTGGACAAGATCCGAATTTTCAACACTAATTCAGTCAAGTCAGTGCTTCCATGTGATGCTTGAGAGACTTGACGCGTTACGAAAAGTGTTTCCAACAAACTACAGACATACATCCACAGCTGCCGCCTACGCTTACTCGATACTAAAGATTAGATCAGATGGCCAGAGAGAATAAGCAAGGAGGAACCCACTTTGGCAACGAACCAACAAAACAAGAACCCATCGCCCAACAAATTTGTAGAAGAAAGTGGGGATGGATTGGGCATACACTGAGAAGACCGTTTAAGACATCATGCACCAGGTCAGCCCTCGTGTGGAACCTAAGGGGGAAACGACGAGTTAGGTGTCTGAGGGTGACATGGAGGAGATCATGTGTGGAAGAAATGAAAGCTTGTGGGCAGCCGTGGAGCCAGGTCGAGAAGACTGCAGAGAAGAGAGCGAAATGGCGACGTGCCACTGAAGCCCTATGTTCTACTAGGAACCCAAGGGACAAATAAATAAATAAATAGATCATATATATATATATATATATATATATATATATATATATATATATATAGGACGGGACTTTTGATTAACCTGGGCCTCTTCTTACTGACCCATGCCAGAATGTATGTTATGATCCTATTTAGTGGTGTAGAGCAGTGGACAGATTGATGAACACTAGGATGTATATAAAACCAAATGACAGTTAATAAACAATAAAAGTGACAGACAATGCATTTTAGTGTTAGTTGCTGTCAAACAAATTAAAAACCATTGGGTTTGAAAACAGGTAGCCAAATCAAAGTAGACCCTGGCAAACAATTGCATCATTCTAAGTTGGAACACTTCACAGCGGTCTATAAAGAAGGGCTTGGTATCATCTTTAAATATTGATTCCTACAGGGTACCTGAAAGAGTAGATTTGTGTGTCCATAGGACATCTGCTTGAGGTCTGTTACACAGCTTTTTCAGGATTGCTAGTGAGATTTGGTTGCTCTAACGCCGGGCGAAGAAAACCCATACTGCAGTTACCGGAAGACTGTGCTATTTTTGGTAGGCAGCGTCAGCGTGGAACTGCTGGTCATCCAACGGAAACACTTCACTGATGTCACATCCCATCCAGCCAGCAGTACAACTTCACCCTCGGACCCCCATCATAGTGTAGGCATTTACACTACAACGGTAGTTGCTTTTCGTCTTATCGTTATTCAACAGATCTTTGTGGTGTGACGAGACCTCGATTGAGAAAGCGTACCAGCTAGTGTAGCTCAGTGGGTCATTGCGATACGCAAGCCTGACCACCACTTCAAGGTAGAAGCTATCAGTCGGGCGAAACGTAGTAAGTCACCTTGTGCACATTCTTGCAGTAGGCAATGTGATGGCTAGTGACACTAACTGGCTGCCCAAACCTCAGTAGGTGGAGGGCTGCTCGAACCAGCGATCCAACGGTTGATGGTTATCTCCCAAAACCATTGAGCCACAGCCTCACATACCAATCGAGCATCAACCATGTAGCCTAGACTTACACATACAGGTCAGAATGACAGTCAACCTACACGGATTGGTGCTACTTTCTGGTCTCGTCGCCTTTAGGTGTCTTCCAACCTACGCGAAATTGCTCGCACGGCCGTTTTACTGTATACCAACATTGCTACACAGCTATGTGATACAAAAAACATGTCCCCTCCTACTATATTCTACCTCTGATGGTAATATCTCATCGTGATAGACTTTTATATCTCATCAGCACCCTATACATAGAAAAAGTTGAAAGATGGCAAACGAACCTTTTGTATCCAAACTGAAATTTAGTCAACAACCAATCAATTAGGATTGAGATACAACATTTCAATTGGACAAAGTGGTTAACACATTAAACTACTTGATTTCTTACTTTTAATCTAGAAGTCGATGTAAACTAGTTGTGAAGTTTCATCTTACATATGGCAAGTATGAAATTCATCATGAAAATAATCGAATTTTTGTTCAAAGCATTAAGAAGACTCTGTATTTTGTTAATTTTTAGCGAACATGATGATGTGGTTTGTTTACTCATAGGCCCACTTCATCAGATGGTAACTTAATCCCAGATGATTAGGACCTATGTTTTAAGAGGATTATATCCAACAGTATATCCATAAAAATGTATAGTGGAAACAGTGAACACTTTTTGATATAGTTATTCAGACTATGGATGTTAGATATGAATTTAGCATTTTCGAGATTGATAGTAGATAAAATTTTTATGTATGTTAAACTTCACGGGCGAAGTAAAAGTACAAGAATTTGTTTACGTGATAGAATACATAAAAGGCTAACAACAACAACAAACTTGAGTGAAGACAGTAACAAACAACACATGCAGAATTCTTGCTTCTAAAGAACACACATAATGATAAAAATAATAGAAGTTATAGTACTAATTATCTAGACACTAGCATTTCAGTCAATGCCTAACTTGTAATTTGCTTGGTAGAAAGCATCTCTCGTCCTGGGGTGCATGTCTATCCAGTTGACGAGTCCTAAACAGAACGAAATACGTGTCCTGGACTCCACCGCTAGTCACCATCAAGCAGATGAAATAGTTATGTTAGGTGAAGACGCTGACAAAATGTAGAGTCTTCTGGACACCTTGAATAGCAATTTGAGAATCTTTGGAATACTTTTCTCACTATCCAGATGCAAATTTTTACTCCAGAATTAGTCTTCAACGGTGCCACGGCTAGCAATAGAGAGTGAAGTGGTCGAGCGCGTGGAACACTTCATTTACCTGGGAAGTCGGATCAGCCCTAGTGCGTTGGTCACTAGACAACGGAAACCCTGCACAGAGACAAAACGTCCGGTTGGCTTTTACTAAATGATGCCATCTGTGGCGCCGCCACCGAGATATCCAACTGCCTATTAAGGGTCGACTGTACTGTCCTGCAGTCCGGTCTTTTCCACTACGCCTGTGAAACATGGCCATTGAAGGTAGAAAATGTGAGAAGGCTTCAGGTGTTTGACCACTGTGGTCTTCGTAGCGTACGCCGTGTTTCGTGGTGTCACCACATGAGTAAAGCAGAAGTCAGACGTACAGCTTCAGGCTGAAGTGAGACAGTTGATGCAGTTGTGAACCTTCATCAACTGAGATGGCTAGGACATATGTAACATATGCCTAGCTACCATCTCCTTCGAAGCACAATGATGGTCGAAGTAGGTTCGAGATGGATGAAGGCCCAAGGCGACCAGACTAAAACATGGCACCAATGTATGAAGTCTCTGACTGTTGGTTTGAGCCATGTAGGGCGATGCAGACTAGCCGGTTGCGGTCCTCGGGAGAAGATAAACTAGTGGTTGGAGACTCTAGGTGATCACATGGCTGAGAACCGAAGTCAGTGGCGCATATGTATACACACATTATCCTCACACTAACCACTATACTTAATCTCATTATCTTCTCAATCTTCTTTCTAATCTTTTGCTCCGTCTACTTCCGTAGACCCATCTTCATTTCCTTCTTCACCTCCCATTTTATTGTCTTGTTACTTGATGTGCTGCTATGTGGTGTGCCAACTTGGATCGTTACACAGTAATGCTTTATCCCATGTTGATGATGATGAAACTACAACTCAATCAATAACCTGACAATAATGAAATATCCACATAGGAGTCCACATATGCCAACACAGGTTGATTTATTTAATCCAGAAGGACAACGGGGAATAACAAGAATCAACAAGTACTTAACTTGGTTTCCAACCTTATCTGTTTCTACGTTAGGTGTGACTAATAGCCTAGTTTTAAGTTGTTGCATATTCTCAAATGTAACTGAAATAAGTGGTATTTTTGTTAATCTTGAGGAAGTGGAAAAATAAATTTCTGATATTTATCTTTACGTTCTCTTTGTAATCCCTACTTACTCATTCATTGACTGCAGTACGAGG